GGCCTTCGGTGGGGACATATAAACAACCCCGGAGTTTTTAAACAACCACTCCACCGCTCTGGCAGCGGCCGCCGGAATTTAATTTCGGCCTTGGGGATTCTGTTCTTCTGTCCCGGGTGGGTCTAAGCAGGGTCAGCTTTTTAGTGCAATCAGTCCAATCACTTCCTGTTCATTTTAAGGGAGAAGGCAGGCAGGTGAAAAAAAAAAGAAAAAAAAGCTGTAAAGAGCGGCTACTCTTTTTTTTAAATCTGATTAAATTATTGTCCCCTTTAAGGGGAGATCAATTTACTGTCAGCTTTCCATGGTTCCAGGGCTCCGTGGGATCTTGATCTAGTTACAAGGAAGAGTGTTCACTCTTTTGCAAAGTGCTGTGGGAGTTCTCTATTTTTAAGCTTTATGCACCTTCCAGACTTCGATTCTGATTCTAAAGCAAAACAGAATGTGCTGTTGGCTCTGCCTCTAGCGTGGCCTCCTGCCCTCTGTCTCCTGAAGGAGAGTGTTTCCTAGGGGTGTGGGCCCGCCTGGCCTCTTCCCCACCCACCTCCCTTTATCTGGATTTGCTCAGGAGCCCATTCCCATGTAAAATCGCCTAATCCCTTCCCATCCTGAGCCTCCCTCCCAGAGAGGACCAAGTCCCCCTGTGAGAGGGCCCTGGAGTCCCAGGCCCTGGGTCTCCCTTGGATAAGAGGGAGCGAGCAGCCAGGCCAGCGAGCAGCCTGGGCACTCCCCCGGCGCCCCACACGCAGGGGTCCCTGGCTTCCCTTGGGGTGAATCAAGGTCGCTTCTGAATCTCCCTGCTCTGCCAGGACCCCACGCCCAGAACTAGGTGATGACTAGAGACTCTGCGGGACTTGGAGCCTGTCGTTTCTCAAGCCACCACGCGGACGTAGTCCTTTCCTTCTGAACAAGGAAAAAATCAGATAGATTGCTTCATGAGCTTGGGGGGGGAGGGTTTTGTGTTTGTTTGTTTGTTTGTTTGTTTAGCAGAAACCTTACTCACCACAGAGGTTTCCTTTGGAAAATGACTTTTGACTGCTCTTTTTTCATCCAAGTTGCTGTACTGAGTGAGGGTGGGTGGGCGGCTACAAGATCAAGGTACGGAGCTCTGGGAAAGAGCCCCCCTGTGTCCTGAGAGCACTTGGGGGAAAGGACAGCAGAGAAGTCGGCCCCTGGACGAAGCCAGGCCCCTTCCTGCGGGAACCTGCTCAGCCCAGAGCTGGAGGAGCCAGAGGCTCTCCGGAGGGAGCAGTGCGGGGGGGCGGGGGGGGGCAGGGGTGAAAGGCAGCTCCCCCCACAGGCCAGGGCGCCGGTGTGCACGGTCCTGGGCTCCATCCGCACCACCCACCCACCGCCTCCCAGGCCGCTTCCCCAGAAATCATTCCTGTACAATTTGGGCTGTAAGTAAGCCTCAGACAATCCCTCTAAGAAGTTAATCAGGAAAGAATTACGCTGTTCCCTGTAATAAGGGGGGAAAATGTGAACCGGTGAGCAAGCCTGGCGATATCGATGAAAAGAGCGGTTAAGCCATTCTTCCAGAGTCTTCTGAAGCCCTCGGCTTTAATCTTTGAAACTAAAGGGAGATTAGAATGATGGATTTCCCTTAAAATAGATGAAAATCATCCCAGTTGCTTATCCGGGACCCCATCATGTGCCCCCCTTCTCCCAGGGAGCCCCTCCCTTGTTTAGGGTCGGAGAGAGGTGTAGTGGACTATTGAGAAAACCTTGTCTCTGCTAGTCACCCCTTCTGTACAGGGGCAGCCTGGAGAGCTGTCGGGGAGGCGCCGGGCATGCTTTGTAGGAGGGTAACATTACAATCTGTTTAGGCCCCACTGCACCGAGTCCGAAGGCACAGCACAGACACGCCTTCCGCGAGCTCAGAGGCCTTGGTGCTGGTGGAATATTCTTTCCATAAGAAAGAAACTGGTCATGCCTCCGTGGGTGCGACCGCCATCCTGAGCTTGGCAGTAGATGTCATCGCGGCTGGATCGCAGGTTCCACTTCAGAGCCTTCTCTGAAACGCTAGGAAATGAGGGCTTTGAAATAAATGAGTTGTAACTGCAAGTTCAGCCTAATTAGAGCGGGTTTCCATGCCAGTTTGAGCTGTGAGCAGCCGGGCCAGGAGCAGTGCGGGTAGGTCGCTGTGTAAAGGGTGGATATTTTGCCCAACTTCCTGATACTTTCAAAGCAGAGAAGTAAAACAAAATATGAGATACCCTTTGGCCGACAAGTCCCTTCTTGCCTGTTTGGTCTGTGCTAGAATGAAAATGTTTGTGTTTCCTCGTCTATTGTGTATCGCTTTCCATTCCCATCGCTTTGTTTTCTGTTTAAAGTTAGATTTTTTTTTAATATTCCCTCTATATTTGCTTATCAATGATAAAATCTTTCAAACTAGCAGGCATGTTAGTTTTAAATTGAACAAAAAATTTACCTAGTCTAAGGGCGTTTGTTGATCATTAGATGCTGTACGTTATCTAAATGAATATGATTTTCCTGGATTTAATATGCTCTTCCTTTCCCGCATGAAAAAACACATCCCTCCAAGATCAATAAAAGGCCACGTCAGTGATCTTGGACCCCCCAATTCTCTTTGATTCCTGCTGCATTTTTTTAAAACCAGAGGGGTAGGAGTTAAACTCCTCATTTTTTTGTCTCCAATCCCAACCTCCACCATCTTTCCTTAGTTGGCAGCCATGGTCCCGTTGCTGTGTTTGTTCTACTTGGCACCGCCTCCTAAAGCCAGGCAGTTACTGCCAGGGCAGGCGGTGAGGACGGTGAGCGAGGCCTAGGCCGGAGCACTGTGCGGGGAGCAGGCGGGAGGCTTGCAGGAGGTTTGGGGAGTTGGAAAGCAGTTGTTTATCTCCCCCTCTTCAGAGCATGAGTGGCTCGGCCGGAAAGCCATGTGGTAGATCCCGCCCCCGTGTGCTCCCTGAATGTTGCATTAAAATCGAGAAGCCGGGTCACCACAGGGAGAGGGGGATGAGAAAGTAAAAATGTGTGTTCAGGGAGACATTTCGACACCCCGAGCTAATTTCACACGGGGAACTGAAACACACGGGGAACTGAAACCAGCGAGAAAGAAAAAAAAGTGGAACCATGTTTAAGAGCCTGAAATTTTTAAGAGAAGAACCAAGCAAGCACATTTCGTGGGCATCGAAAAAATAGCAGCAAGAACTAAATAACCGATTGGGGAGATTGATTTCAATGATGTTTTTTGAAACAAAAGGGAGTTGTCATATTATTGCTCTTAATTAAACGGCAACACACACACTTATAATGGGAACTAAATGCCTAATTAGAGGGTGCCTGGGGAACAGATAGCTGTGTGTTTAAACCTCCTGTGTAGGAAACATGGCCACCAATTGCACGGAAAGGATGGGAAAGGATGGGGAAGAAAGATAAGGAGCCAGACCTCAGGTGACTGTGCGAGTGGAATGAGTAGGTGAAGAGGTGCCCACCTCCCGCGTGAGGGCCGCTGCTCGGGGTCCCCCTGCCCCGCCCAGCACGGGGTCCATTCTCCATCCTGCTCCCAAGAACCCGAGAGCTGGAGCATCTTGGGGAATGAGAACACTAGCGGACCCCGGGGGAGGGGTGACGACTGAGCAGGCCACGGAGACGGGACTTTGAGAAACGTGGCTTTGCTGTCGGGCGAGCGAGCCGATGGAGCCTTCTTTACAGACGGGACAGGAGGCTGCACGAGTAGGTGTTGACCAAAATGACCCAGCAATTCTCAGGGGAAAACCGGGAGGTGGGAACAGGAGAGGCGGGTACTACCGAATGCTCGACTGCCAGGACTGGAAAACAAAAACAGCCAAACTGTGTCTATAACTGGGACCAACGCCACAGATTCCACTACAGAGAGAGAGCGAGAGAGAGAGAGCGAGAGAGCGAGAGAGAGAACCAGGGGAGAGACCAGAAATGGCAGGAACAGGGAAAACTCGGGCCTTTGGGTGTGAAACTCTGAGGTCACTTGGAGAAGCAGCAGCAGTGGCAATGCAGCTGCTGGTACAGGTCCAGGCCAGCAAGACTGTGTCCAGAGGGTCAAGCGATGACCCAGACATGGACACTCCTCTGCGGGCCCCTTCCTGCTGCCCTCCTTGGGCCATTTTACTTTGAAATGACCGTTTTCTTGTTACCTGAGCATCAGCACGATGTGTCTGCCAGCTTTCTTCAGTAGCCCTGATAGGAAATCCATTTCCGGTCAATGACATGAAAGGGATTCCTCCTCAGGGTCCGCCGGGGGGAGGACCCTCAGGCACCTGTGAGGGCGGAGTGAGCACACCTCGGGGACTCCCAGGCCCACACCCGCGACAGGCCCCCTCCTGAGGTCACAGGGGCGCCGGACAGCGGGCCTCCCCTCCGAGGCCTGAGGTTTGGTCTCAGCCATAGCAAAGGGCACGTCTCAGGGGTCTGCCTGGCATGCCCCAGCTCGCTGCTCGTGGAAATCAGGAGTGTAGACGTGAACAGGGGTTTCAAAGGTGCACTGCAGGGGGCAGCTTCGGTCACTCGGGAATCCTCAGCTCTCGGTTCTAAGGGTCAGATTTAATTTTAAGGAAATGAGTTTAGACACTACAAGTCAAGTTGGCCTGTGTAGGCTGGCCAGCGGAGGTCTGGATAAGGGGAAGGAAGATGGGTTAGGTTGTAAACTTCCAGAAACAAGACCTTCTGGTGTTCAAACTTGGAGAGTGGAGAGCGTTGAGTGTTCGGGAGAAGGCATGGCTTGGCCAGGCCCTTGCTGTAGGTAGTCTCGCCCCAGCCGAGCGCCGTGGCCCTACGCCACTTTCCTAGGATTTGGAGATTTATATTTAGCCATGCGTAATGGGTTTAAAAGCAGAGCTTCCCGTTACTAACTTTTCTGTCGTTTTGCTTAATTTAGGATTGCTATTCGTGTGCAAACTAGCAAGGGTCACATAATATGCATTTATTTTTGCAGTTGTTCCGTAAATGACACCACAGTTTAGGACACGCCTGATGTTTGCATTTGCCCCTTGACTGGTGTGTAGGTGGTGGCTCTCGGGGACGTTCCGGACGGGACGCTGGTCACCGTGATGGCCGGCAACGACGAGAACTACTCAGCCGAACTGAGAAACGCCACCGCGGCCATGAAGAACCAAGTCGCGAGATTCAATGACCTCAGGTTTGTCGGCCGGAGTGGAAGAGGTAGGTAGCTGAACTTGAATCACAAACTATTTACATGGCAACCGACCCAAATTTCAAAACCTCTAGAAATTTCTGTGGTGGGATCCCTAGAAACACAGTCTTTCTTGTTATTATTGTTGCATCGAGCCTTTAAAAATATTAATTTAGAATTTAACATTTTTAACAGAATCTAGTTTTACATTATTGCTTTCTGATCGGCAGCATGTAAAAACATGAATTTTGGATTTCGAGGAAAGCCCTCAGCTCTTTATGAAAGTGTAAAAATATGAAACTAGGATTATTCAACGGGGGTTCTGTCTTTGATAATTATCAGAAATCTCTATAATGGGAGCCCTTAACTTGGGATCCGTGTGCTCCCTGTGGCAGGTGACAGGGTTTCAAGTGACCACGTCTAATAATTTTAAGGGAGGGGTCGTGCATGATTATTGAAATGCGGCTTCAGGTAAGCTTACCCTTTTATGATAAAATGTGAAGAAATGGCGGTTGGTAAGCTTGACAGAATATGACTTCCTAGTACATGGAATGTGGGTGCCTTGCTATCGCTTGAAGGGTTTGGCCCAGCTCACATGTCCGGAACTGACAATAGGAAAGACTGGATGATCCAGGAGAACCGTTGGGTCAGGGCAGTTCTGTGTGTGGTGTTATTATTTGTTGCCCGTTATCGAAGTGTGAGAGCAAAAAGAGGAGTGACTGTTGGCTCTTCTGCTTTCAAATTACTTTCAAATATTGTGTTTTCTCTGTATTGTAAGAACCCACGTCACACTTATAAATAGCAGTAAGCACTAGAAGTTTAATTGAAAGAGGCGGGATCATTTGTTTTGAAAATCTAATTTTTATAATAGAAAAAAATATCATTTTGAGTATAGTAAAAAGACACGGTAAACACCCAAATAACAATAGATGATTGTTGTGCTAAAAAAGTAAAGGTACAACCAATGGACATTTAAACAAGAGTCATCATTACTCTTTATGAAGGCATTCAAAAATCTAAGGAAATCTGTGTTCTTAGGGGTTTTGATTAGTTTGGAGAAGGGAAGATGGGGAAGGGAGGGGTGTTTGGCTATTGTTTTCACAATAGAATCATAGTGAGGGTAATTTAAAAAAAACATAACATGATTGAAAGTCTATGTTCATCGCCCTAACTATGTTAATAATAGGACAATGCAAAGAAAATTATATCCACTGATGGGAAGCATGAGGGATGCTGTCAGGTATACAAGCATAAGTCATTAAATGGGTTCGCTTGTTCTAGTAAAAGTCCCCGCCTCTCAGTAAATGGAACTCACATTACGATTCAGAGATGTGTGTTTAGAAAACATCTTGAAGGCTGCGGATGAGTAGCTGGCAGAGTGGGTGCGAAGCCAATAAGAACCAAGGCCCCACCTCCCGGTCCGTGCCTACCAGCCCGGCTCTAGCCATCTCCATTCCGTGCTTGTGGGTTTCCACTCTCAGGCCTTCGTAGCTGGGTAACCTTTGGTGGCCTTTCCGGAGAAAGTGATATTAGCATCGTGTGCCTCTGTGTGGCTCTTGTGTGTCAGGTTTGGGTGATAAAAAGTCGTGGAAATGATTCAGTGGCCAACGCCAGCGACATTTTTCCACAAGAAGCTCCGTGGTGGCTTTGTGGCCACGCACAGTCAGTGGGTGGAGGAGAAAGAATGAGGGTTGGAGAGCAGCCTGCTTCCTTTTCTGGCGCTGGGGGCTGGTCTCTCGTCTCGTTGGCCATTTCTGGTTGGAGTGGGTGACTAATAGGTGCTGGTGTTTACCTGGGGAGCAGGGAGCTGTTTCCCCAAGGCGTGGATTGTTTGCACTTGGCTGCCCGGGCCATGCCAGTGTGCCCTTGAGTTTGCATAAAAGCCGGAGTAGCGTCGCTACAACCCAGGCTGGGCTGTCTCTGGTCACCTGGAATGAGACAATGAACTGAAGCGTCGTGAGTGGGCAGGATCTGTGTTGCACGGTGTCTGCTTCCCATGAGTGATAGTCAGGCATCCAAACCACAGGAGCCCTAATTGAACGTCTGGCCCAGTTAAGGTTACCCTGTGTTGTTGGGCTTGAGTAATTTTTTTTTTTTTTTTGGTCAGTGCTACCAGACAAAATTGAGCTGTCAGAAGGCCCTGTGTGTCCCAGAATTTCTCTCCACAGTCGTAAAATACAGCTCGATTTTATTCTTTCAAGCGTGAGTGTCGACTCAACGTCTGCCAGATATTTTTTTTTTGTTTTTGTAATTTGCTTCCCATTATGAAGAGAGCAGATGATTCTCTCTCATTTGGACAATTAGCCTCAATCTTCCACAGGGAACCGTGCCCTTTAAAAGTTTCATTACGTTTATTTTTTGTAAGTGATCTTAAGATGATTTTTCTGTTTTTCAAAATGTGCCTATAAACATGTCATTGGCATCGACACACCCCACAGGGGCCAAGGAGGCCCAGGCTGTTGGCTCATCCAAACATTTCCGTGCAGTTTCACACTCTGTCCCCAGGCACCGTCCGGCATCTCCATGGGGCCTGGGGCTCAGCTCCCAGTGAGGGGAGAACGAGGAACGCCCTTCTCATTACCAGCTGCCGTCCGGGGAGCTTGTGGAGCCTCGGAGAAGCTGCCAGAGGCCGAACACGGAGGGGTTTTTGTGGGTTTTTTGTGCTTTTTTTCTGTTCTGCAAAACTGACCTGTCTGGGCGCTGGCTGAGGTCCAGGTTCGCAGCTCTAACCTCAAGTTCAGCCTGCAACCGGGAGAACCTGCCCGTCCGGCTCTCACGGCCTTGCTGGCTACACTGTCCCCTAACGTCCGTGGGCGAGGGCTTCGGCGCCCCAACCTTCCTCCTTCCCTGCCGCCCCTCCTGGTGCTCCATGTCAGTCGCACATCTTGCTCGGGTGTATGCGGCCTTGGCGTTTCCTGCCTCTCACACGGCGGCCCCATGGAGGGGGACGGTTCCCTGGCGAAGGAAGACGAGGCGGCAGCTCCAGGAGCTGAGAGGTGGCTGCTCAGAGCGCTCACACTCACCCGCTCGCCCTGGGACGCCCCCTGCCCCCAGAAAATGGGCGTTTGTTCGGAGTCGAAAGGACTCCCGATGGCAGAGCCGATTAGCAGTTTACACCAGCAGTGGAGGCAGGAGCTACGGGCGTCTTCAGGTGAAAGCGAGGGCATCGCGGCTGCAGCGACAGACACTGCAGACGTTTGGCCGATAGATCCAGGAACGCTTCCAGCCCGGCCAGGCCTTCCTTCACCCCTCACTCGGGGACCCGGCTTTGGTTCACTCACTTAGAACCAAGCAGGAGGTCTCCCAGGCCGTGCCTTCAGCCACACATACACAGGGAAGAGGGTCCGCGCAGATCCTCCTACCTTCCTAAGGATGCGACTTCTCATCTGTCGGGAACATAAGTCCCCTGGAGGCCTTCTCCCAAGGTGTCCTGTGCAAAGTCGGTTTCTGGGGCTGCCGGAGCTAATGCCGGAGCTTCCGGGGACCCATGGGCCCCCAAGCCAAGAACCTGTGGATTCAGACCTTCACCTCGGCCGTGGGGGGCCAGCCCCGTTCTGTGCTGCGCGCTGTAGACAACTGGAGGTGCACCCGTCAGTGATCAAGAGAGACGCAGCCCCCTGGCACCGTGCTGTCGGGCCGCTGTCTGCATGTGGCCAGGCCGGTGTGCGAGTAGGAGAGCAGGTCCCCTAAGGCTGAGCTGCAGACCCTGAGCTCTCAGTGTGCCTGCTGTGGCCCCTCGCGCAGGAAAAGGGCCCATCCTGCCGCGGGGAGGGCGCCCCTCGCACAGCTCCGGCCCGGCCTC